ATACTAAATCAAGCAATTAACATAAATCATAAGAAACAAACAACCAAGTTTTTTTATCAGAAAGTGCTATCGGAAAGATAAGAAGGATAACAGTAACACAGCCCGACTTATTATTCTATGATTTCAAGAAAGCATTAATTCAGCAAGGGATCGTTTTACTGGGCACGCCAGAGGCCGTGTAGCAAAAATCCTATTTCAATCTCTCTTTTGTTGGAAATGCTTATTATTTCAGAGGAACAGGCTTATAGGCTTTTGGCTTCCTTGGGTATCGGCCCTGTTTTACTATTTACCAAAGTGCTAAAAAAAATGATGGGGAAAAAGCATATAAAGTTGGGAATGCAGTATCCAAGTATATTCTGAAAATCTGCAATCTACTGAAGTGTGGAAAGCTTTTAGCTGTTGGAGCTTGTGGGCTCAGTCCAGAAAATTGTTTCACTCTGCGGGAAACACCCAACTTCAAACCCTAGAGGGATGGAAGACGTGGTTCATTTCCATGCAGACAGCCCACCTCCTTCATTATTACAGCTACTCCTCAACTTACGACAACGGAGCGCAACATTTACACTAAGAGAGAAATCCGTTAAGTGAGTTTTGCCCCACCTCACGACTTTTCCTGCCACATTTGCGAAGTGAACCACTGCAGCTGTTAAATGAGCAACACAGTTGTTAAGTGAAGATGGTTCCCCCCCACCGTCCCATTGATGTCAGAAGGTCACAAAAGGGGATCGCATGACTGCCACGGTCATCAATGGGGGGGGGGGGAATCAACTGCCAAGCTCCCAATGGCAAATCAGGCGACCGTGGGGATTGTCGCAACAGTCGCAAAGTGTGAAAAATGGTAATGAGCCGCTTTATGAAAACGCCACCGTAACTTCGAACGGTCACTAAACGAACTGCTGTAAAATAAGAGAACTGCCTGTGCGCTGTGTGGCGTGTCATGGACACCCTTTGTGATCTCACAGCTAGAAGACAAGAGAATCGCTCTTACTGCTGCTCCTGCGGGAGTGTGGATGTGAACAATGCACTTGACGTCCGGGCGGGCGGCGTAGATGGCCGAGTGCAACGTGAAACCAGCCGGATTAATCCCCAAGTTAGTGCTTCCACGATCAATGACTTCGCCTTGGAAATTCACTTTAACCTGGTAACAGAAGACGGCGTTAAACGTTGAAGTTATTCTAACTCTTTTCCTGCAGGAGGGAAAGAAGACGCCAGTCACCTGAAAGGAGATAGGGGATGGAATAGAATAGGAATAGGAATAGAATAGAATAGAGAATAGAATAGACACTAGAATAGAATAGA